CATTCACATGGACAACCCACCTTACTACCGTATCACCTCTAGTTACAAAATCCCCTCCATCACCTCAGGTAACTTTTTTGTTTAGCTGAATACCAAATTCATACTGTTTAAGTCGCAAACTTTTATCACGTATACAAGTGAATAGATACTTTCCTTGTTTAGTCCATACAAAGCTATATTTGAGCTTGTAGTTCAGCTACGGAAAACTTAAGGAGGCAGGAATTTTTATACTATCTGAACTCGCTTAAACATTCTTACTCTCATTACTGAATCGTACCATACCATAAGCAAAGGAAGAGAAAACAAACAAAGGGAAACTTTGATGTGTTTTCAAAGAAGCTTTCAGCTTTCTTATAGAGATGTACAACACGGAAACAGACCCTTCGGTCCAACTCATCCATGCTGACCAAATATTCTAGATTAATCTAGTCCCATCTGCGAGCATTTGGCCCATATCCCTCTTAAACCCTTCCTATCATGTATCCACCAAGATGCCTTTTAAATGTAGTTCTTTATACCAGCCTCCTCCATTTCCTCTGACAGCTCATTCCATTCACGCACCTCCCTCTGCTTGGAAAAAGTTGTCCCTTTTAAATCTTGCCCCTCTTGCCTTAAACCCATGTTCTTGTTTTCTCCTGATCCATTCTGTCCAGTAGGGCTGTTTGATTCAAATCTTGATAAGTAGCATTTTTCTTTGAGGTGGGGGAGAAAATGAGTTAATTTTAGAATACCTCCTGTATATATCTTTCTAAGAGGACAATTTTAAAACATTGGTCAAGTCATGCTGTGGAACATGGCCAGTCTTTTCAATAGCCTATTATAAAAACCGTCACCAAGAATTATAATTGATTAGTCCAAGTAGGACCTTGATCAGGAAGATGTGTACTCACAAGTGAATCTTTCACCTGCAGCCTGTAGTTGTACCATACAGATCGTAAGGCCATAAGATATAGGAGCAGAATTAGGCCATTTGGCTCATCAAATCTGCTCCACCATTCCGTCATGGCTAATGTGTTTCTCAACCCATTCTCCTGCCTTCTCCTGTAACCCTTGATCCACTTAACAATCAATAATTCTATCTATCTTGTCTTAAATACACTCATTGACTTAGCCTTCACAGCCCTTTGCAGCAATGGGCTCCACAGATTAACCACCCTCTGGCTGAAGAAGTTCCTCTTTATTTCACTTCTAAAAGGTTGTCCCTCTACTTAGAGGCTATGTGCTTGGGTCCCAGTCTCTCCTGCCAGTGGAAACAACATCGCCATGGCCACTCTATCCGGGCCCCTCAGTATTCTGTAAGTTTAATTCATCCTTCTAAACTAAATCAAGCACAGATCTAGAGTCCTCAACTACTCCTCATATGATGAACCCTTCATGCCCGAGGTCATTCTTGTGAACCTCTTCTGGATCCCCTCCAATAGCAGCACATCCTTCCTTAGATACAGGACCCAAAACTGTTCACAATATTCTAAATGCATTCTGATCAAAGCCTTAAACAACCTCAGCATTACATCTCTGGTCATGTATTCTTGCCGTCTTGAAATAAATGTTAACGTTGCATTTGTCTCCCTAGCCGCCAACGGAACCTGCACTTTAATCTTAAGAGAATCTTGAACTAGTACTTCTGTGCTTCACATTTCTGAAGCCTTTCCCTGTTTAGAAAATCGTCTGTGCCACTATTCTTTCCCCCATCAAAGTGCATAACCTCATGCTTTCTCTCATTGTCTTCCATCTGCCACTTCTTTGCCCACTCACCAAGTCCTTCTGCAGCCTCCCTGCTTCCTCAACAAAGTATGTCCCTCCAACTATCTTTGTATCATCTGCAAACTTAGCAACCATGCCCTTAGTTCCTCCTTCTAGATCACTAATATACAAGGAGAATAGCTGTGGTCCCAACACAGACCCCTGCGAACTCCACTAGTCACCACCTTCCATCCTGAAAAAGAAGTCTTTATCCCTTCTGTCTGCCGTTAGCAGTCAGTCAATCCTCTATCCATTCCAGTAGCTTGCCCAAACACCAGGGGCTCTTATCTTATTTAGCAGCCTCCTGTGCAGCATCTTGTCAAAAACCTTTAGGAAATCCAAATAGATCACATCCATTGACTCACCTTTGTCTAACCTGCTCCTTAACTCCTTAATTCCAACAGATTTGTCAGGCATCCCCTTGATAAAGCTGTGCTCACTCTGCCTATTTTACCATGCACTTACAAGTACTTCACAATCTCATCCTTAATATTTCACTGTAAAATCTTACCACCAACCAATTTCAGGCTCACCAGTCTATAATTTCCCATCTTCTGCCTACCTCTCTTCTTGAATAGGGATGTTACATTGGCCATTTTCCAGACCTCTGGGACCCTCCCTGACTCCAGTGATCCCTGAAAGATCACCACCAATGCCTGTACAATCTTCTTCAGAACTCTGGGGTGTAGTCCATCTATTCCACCTTCAGACCATTCACCTTCCCGAGACCTTCTCTTTAGCGATGACCACTACACTCACCTCTGCCCCCAACTGTCTTGAAGCACCAGTCAGCATTTGAAGTTTCAGCAACATTTTTGACCTACTGACGTCTAGTTAATGTCATTGGAATGAGTTTATAGATTGTCAGAATTTGGTGTTATGTTCACTTTTTCTTATGGCTGCGATGTTGATTTGAAATAGAGCTTAGGGGAACTGTTTTTAGCTTAGAAAGACTTGAAGCAACCAGCCTTCTTCTTCTTATTGATCCTTGGTCCAGCAGGATTTAACTTAATGACAGATGCATTTTTGTTTAGAAAATAAAATATTTACATGTTTGGATGCAACATGACTTGTTGAGCCAAATGGCCTGTTTCAGTTGTGGGGATTCTTAAAAAAAAAGCTTTGTACTGACCTGATGCCTTAATATGTGGATTTTAATTATAGCACCTTCTTTATCTAAGGTCAGATAAATTGTTGTTTGCAACACTATGATGTTGTTTATATGGCTAATTTCTAAACTACAGCAGTCTGTTGATTTGGAAGAATGAAGGGAGACGAATATTGTGATCTAGCACTTCCAAACAATTCAAGCTAGATAATTGAGATAACACGGTGTAGAGCTGGATGAACACAGCAGCATCAGAGGAGCAGGAAAGCTGACGTTTTGGGTCAGACCCTTCTTCAGAAAATGCAGGAAAGCTGACGTTTCGGATCGAGACCCTTCTTCAGATGCTGCTTGGCCTGCTGTGTTCATCCAGCTGCACACTGTGTTATCTCAGATTCTCCATCATCGGCAGTTCCTACTATCTCTGTAACAAGCTAGATAATTGTCCTTTTGAAATTAATGCCTCAGAATTTGTATTTATATCCGTCAGTACCTGTTACCTCCAAAGCTTTCAAATGATCCAGCCCTAGACATACTTGACACCAGTTAGTTCAATTGGTAGCACTCTTGCCTCTGATTCAGAAGGCGAGTACTGAATACGTAACCTAGATGACACTTCAGCACATTAGTGATGGAACAATGCATTGTCAAGGTATTTTGAATCAAGATGTTTTCTGACTGTCCACATATAGAATCTAAAAGATGAGGTTGTTGATTTGCTCGCCGACCTGCCTTGTTCTCATTCAGACATTTCATCGCTATGCTAGGTGACATCATCAGTGGAGTTTCCAATGAAGTGGTGTTATTCTACTCCGCTTGGAATTTATACTGTTTCGTCTGTTGTGGTGAGTAGTGTCATTTCTGGTTTTGATCTGTATGGGCTTGTATATGGGGTTCTATATGTTTGTTGATTGCATTACAGGTGGAGAAACATGCCTGTAGGAATTCCCGTGCATGTCTATGTTTGACTTGGGCTACTATGGTTACTTTGTCCCAATGCATGAACATAACTAGCAGCAAAACAGCACGATGACCTCTCCTTAATATCGGTACGCTCAGACAATGAAGGCCATCAGTTTAACTGGGACAAGTTAACCAGAGAGCCCAAGCCAAACATAGACACACACAGAAATTCCTAGAGGCATGTTCCTCCACCCGCAATGCAATCAACAAACATGTAGAATTGGACCCCATATCCAAACCCATACAGATCAAAATCAGAAATGACAGTACTCACCATAACGGACCAAACGGTATAAATTCCAAGTGGAGTGGCTTCATTGGAGGCTCCACTGATGATGACACCTAGCATGGTGACGAAACATCTGAACGAGAACAAGCCAGCTCAGTGAGCAAGTCAACAACCTCATCCACAACTCGAGCTACAGGTCTTTGTCAAAACTTTGAGTATCTAAAAGATCCCATAATTTTCAAAGAAGGACAGTATCTTAGCCAACATTTATCTGTCAGTCAGCGCCTCCAACATGACAAGGTATGGGCTGCTTCTGGAACATTGCTGTACACAAACTAACAGCTATTTTTAATAACAGTAATTAGACTTCAAAAGCAATTCATAGAATTGCTGTAGTGCCCGCTGTTGGGAAGAATGACCTCATCATTCCAATCCCCTGCTCTTTCCCCATATCACTGCACTTTTTTCACTCTAATACCCTTTTGAAGACAGGGCATTCCAAGTTTGGCCACTATGCATTTTTAAAAAGTTTCCCCACCAAACGTATGCTTTCATTTCTTTCATCGATCTTAAATCTCAAGTTTCTTGATCCTTCAATTGAAAACTGGTTCTTTTTCTTATAATTGTCTCTTTCAGTTGTAAGAATGCAATAGGGCAAACTCCAGAATCATTCTTTTGTCTTTGCACAATTTCTGTATCTCTATCTCATGAAGCTTCATTAATAATTCACTCTGTCTACTTCCACTGTTTTACTGTTTCTCAACAAAGTTTAAATTACTCCAAATTTTATATAGGGTTAAATATTAACATTGAGATCGTCGGCTTCTGGTAAATTTAAATCAGTTTAAGGATAATTTTAATTGTTTCAAGGAAAAGCAGATAGTGTAATGGTTGAAGATACAAATGTGACATGGAATTGTCTGATGATGAACAGGCAAAGGTAACAAAGTAGAGTTGAGAAGTGAACTTGATAATAAATTTGTTTACAGACAAAATCTAGTATTTTTCTCATAATGTTTCCTAATGGGTTCACTTTTTTCCACGCTTGTCAAGTTTTTTTCAAATTGTAATTCTTTATTTTGTGATTTTAATTATACATTTTCAATTTGACTCCATCAATTTCTTGTCAATTCCTATTGTGAATAGGTACCACTTCCAGCAGCAATACCATGGTAGCGGGACACGATGGTCATCAGGACACTAAGTCAGCAAAGGACTCTGCTATTGATGATAAGTATGTACTTGTGTTTCAAAACAAAACTTCATCATAATTTCTTTAAATGGTTGTAGTGTTTCTAAGCATGTGCCTGATGTTAAAGGTGAAGATTTATGTTGCTGTTTTATTTGGTAGCTCTGTAAAGCTGTTTTTCGCAGTTTTTTTATCTTCTATTTCTGCCTCTGTCTTTGAGGCAGAACAGGAGAGATTACCTGACACCCTGATCAACATTTATTTCTCAACCAATGCCTAAAATAGATGTAAATAGAAAGAATGCTGGAGACACTCAGCAGGTCTGGCAGCATCTTTGGAATGAGAAAGCGAGGCAACATTTCGAGTCTGATCTGACTTCTTCAGAAGTTCTAAAGAAATCATACTGGACTCGAAATATTGCCTACCTTTCTCTTTCCACAGATACTACCAGAATTGCTGAGTTTCTCCATCATGCTTTGTGTTCATTTTAGATTTCCAGCAGCTGCAATATTTTGCTTTTATTTACCTAAACTAGATGATCTATTCATTTAATTCATTGTTGTTTTTAAGACCTTGATCTGTGCAAATTGACTAATTAATTTCCTACATTATGACAGCAACTACAATGCCGTGGTTCTTCACCGACCAGTGAACACTTTTGAGAAGACTTAAGCTCATAAAAAATGCTTTATAAATAACAGTCTTTAGTTCCCCAGGAACTTGATTTTATTCAACTTTTCCCACTTTCTTTAATTCATTACTGCCTAAATAATTCAGTAAAAGTATATACATCTCAATAAATGATATACACTTCTCTGACCAGCAGTTCTGGCTACCACACAATTCGAAGGATGTGATTGCACGGCAGAGGGTGCAGGGGAGATTCACCAAGATGTTGCCTGGGATGAAAGAGCCTCAGTTATGAGAAGAGACTGGATAGACTGGGTTTGTTTTCTGAGGCTGGGAGAATTTGATTGAGGTACACAAGATTATGAGAGGCATAGGCAGAATAGATGGTGAGAATCTTTTCCCCATGGCAGACGTGTCTAAGACGAGAGGGCTTTTTGTTTAAGGTGAGGAATAAGTGGTGGGAGAGGAGATCTGAGGAATTTTTTTTTCACCCGGAGGGTGGTAAAAATATGGAACACACTGCCTGAGAGTGTGGTGGAATTACGTACTTTCACAATATTTAAGAAGCATCTGGATGCGCACTTAAAATGCCAGGGAATAATCGGCTACTGACCAATTGCATATAAATGGAATTAGTGTATTTTGGTGTTTATTGGTCAGGAGAGACATGGTGGGCTGAGGACCTATTTCTATCCTTTATGACTCTGTGGCCATTGACTGGCCATTGTATGGTAACCCTTAGCAGACATCATCACTTTTGACCTTATAATTAAAGCACTTGAGAGAGGCTGACTATTGCATGTTATCCGAGCACCTCCTGTAGCAATGTCATCGTAGTCCAGGTGTAATCACAATCATCTTGCTTTGCATAAGGAGGGCCCCAACCAGTAGATAGTTTTCCCTTGATTTCCATTGACTTCCAATTTGCCAGGATTCCTTGATGCTAAACTCAGTCAAATACTGCTTTGATGTCAAGGGCAGTCAGTCTCACGTCATCTTCGGAGTTTAGCTCTGTTGTCCATGCCCAGTCAAAGCTGTAGTGAGGTCAAGAATTCAGTGCTGTAGTGAAATCCAAACTGAACATTGCTGAGCAACTTGTGACTCAGCAAGTGCCACTTAACAGCATTGTAGATGATGTCTTCCTTTATTTGGTTGATGTTCAAGAATAGATTGATGGCCTGGTATCTCAACCTTGCTCCCAAAATAATTTGAGAAGCAAATTGTAATGGAATAAAATACGTTATGTGAACTTTTGTTTCCACATTTTACATACATGTACTTATACCAAGTACTCAGCTTTAATTACTTGTTTTCTCTGAGCAGTTACGGACATCTCGATATCTATGGTGGGCTAAATAGCAACCTGAACCGGCAACATCACCGGCTAGAATCTCGTTACAGCAGCAGTTCTGGCGGATCCTATGAAGAGGAGAAGAGTGCGTAATGTAGTCACAAAATATATTGTAAAGGTTTTTATACATTAGTGTGTCCCCTTAAAGGTTTCAAACATATTACATGTTATATGGGTTGTAAATCTGCCAGACAATTGCATTGTTAAAAGTTGACATTTGATTAAATATTAAGTTGTAAATATAGAAAGTTTAAGATCATATGAATTTATATGTACATAATTTATATTCCTAGAATTACACGTGTTAGCAAGCACATGTTGATGACACTCCAGGCACAATATGTCTGATCTGTTATTACAATTTTTCTATCGTGTGCCTGAAGCTATAGAAAATTTCTAACTTGCAATCTGCAAGAAATATTTGTGTCAGTAAAAGGCTAAAGTTTGTTCCCTAGTATCTGAGAATAAAATTCAGTAGTCCATTTCACGTGCCTTTACTGATTTAACTATTGCATACTTTATGTTTAATAGGTGATTCTATGCCAATTTATGCAAACTGGAGGCTGAAAGTGATGGAACTCAACAAAGCAGAACCATTGCCATTTCCTCCCAATGGTGGAAGCTGGTCACCACTGGCTGATTACTTGCCTGAGACTGGTACACCAGGGATACCCCTGCAGAGGTCAGTGAATACTGTACTTGGAGAATATGATAATGATTTCTACAAGCTGTTACAAAATGATTGCAAAATCCTATATACAAAATTACTAACATTGTACGTGTTCAACAAAATATATTCATGACATTTAAACTGCTGATTGACCAGTTTGGAGGAATGCAACAACAAATTATATTCCTACAATGAATGAAAACTAACTTGTTTCCATATAATCCATGCTGGATTTGTAATTTGTACAATATTTTTAATGCCACGCTTCAGTTCCTCAGAAAATACTTGCGTTAGTAGGGTGCATCCTTTTTCCTTGGTTGATGTAATGTTTACGTGTGTCAAAGCTTTTTTATTTAAACTATATACAATAGCCTTGTCAATTTTTTTTTATCTCATGCTCTTGGGAATGGTAAACTACACTGTCATCATGGCTGAGTGATAGCTAACTTCTAACTTCACAAAGCAGTCAAAGTTCCATTGATTGCAACTGATACATCTCAGTGACTATAACAATTTATAAGGGACAAAAACGGATGTTTTGGACTCGTCTATAGTACCACTGAGTAAAATGTTGAACATAATTTGTTTAAACTAGTGAATGCTTATACATAAAGAAAACTTGTCTTAATCCATGTTGGTGTGTGTCACTCCTAATTACAGAGATAATGCAGAGGCTTGTCTTGCCATCAAATGAATGCTGTAAAACCTCAGTTTAATTGTTTATTTTCAGAATCTATTGCTAATATTATAAATGTTTATATTTCATTCCTGTAGTTCTGAAAATGCAATCATTTTGTTTTATTAGGTGTAACATCGCAGTCATCCTTCTTACAGATCTAATAGTTGATCACAGCGTAAAGGTAGAATGGGGGAACTACACGCATCTTTTGCTTCATGCAATATTTATAGGTAATTAGGAAATAAAAGTGTTCTAATTGCTGGCATAATGTATGTTGTTGACCTGATGTGGCACAGAGTTATACGGTAAGTGTCCATTGTTCCCTGCAAGCTGATTTCAGCCAGGCTATCAAAGAGCAACTGATTTGAGTCGAAAGTCAAAGAAAGATCTGTTCACTCGCTCAGGAAAGCCATCAATGCAAGTATGACAAATACTATTCTTACTAATGCATTCTGTAAAAGAAAGGAGAAACAAGCCAAATACTTTTTTTTAGTACCTGTGAAAGCAGTACATACAATTTGTCTATTCTGGCTATTGCTGCCGTGTTAAGATTTTTGCAGAATGGTCAAAGCAGGGCTATTTAGATCATCAAGTCTGTGCCATTTTCTGAGAGAGCTATTCTGCTAGTGCCATTTTCCCATTCTCCCCCTCACCCTGCACATTCTTCCTTCTCAGATAATCCAATTTTCCCTTGAATACCTTAATTGAACCTTCCTCCAATACACTGTCATGCTGTGTATACTTGACATGAGCAACTCACTCTGTGAAAATATTATTATTCATATTCCTGCTGTTTCTTTTGCCAGTTACCTCAAATCAGTGCCCTCTGATTCTCAATCTTTCCTTTAAGTGTGAACAAGCTTCTCCTCATCAACTGTGCACAGGTCCGTTCTGATTTTGAATAGTTCCATTAAATCTCTAGTTCTCCAAGGAAAACAATCCCACCTTCTCCAATTTATCTGCACAACTGAAACTCTTCACCTCTTATCAATCTTTTTCTGCATTCTCTTGAATGCATTCTAAATGTTGTGCCCAGAACTGGACCTAATGCTTCAGTTGAGGCCCAACCAGTGTTTTCTTCGAGTTTAATATAACTCCTTGCTTTAGTATTCTTATGTCCCAATCAATAAAACCTAGGATGATTCTCTCTTGACTGTCCTGCCACCTTCAATAATTTATGCACCAATTTCTAGGTTGCAGAGTCGTAGAGTTTACAGCACAAAAAAGGGCTCTTTGGCTTATCGAATCTATGCCTGACAAAAACAAGCAGCTAACTATTCTAATCCTACTGTCCAGTTATGTGGGTTTCTGCCTATACCAGGTTCCTCTGCTCCCCCATTGTTAATATATTTTGGTCGATTTTGTCTATCGAAAATTGTAATCCTAATTGTAGATGTTTACCAATTTTATGTTTGGGTTTGAAAATCCACAAATTTAATAGGTCATTTGTTCGGTTATTTATGTGTGTCCTTAATGCATGTCATTGTCTACAGATGCTTCACGCTGACCTGTTTTCTTGGAAGTTTTTGGTGGGTTGCCAATGTCTACCACTTCAGGAGAAAGTCAAGGATGCGGTTCCCAAATCTACCTTAGCTAGAACAAGAATTGAGCCTGCGTTATTATTGTGAACAACATGCTAGAAAGATACCAACAATTCAGCAATTTTTAAAAAAACTTTCTAAGTAATTATGCTGATCTGAGAATGTTTTAGAGTTTAAGGTTATGTAAAGTAAAATACTTTTCTGGTGAATATACTTTTTTAATAAATTGAATTGCATGAAATATTGATAAGTTGAAAAATATTTCACTTTTTCTTTGTTTACAGGATTTGATCACCAGCATCCTGAAGTGTATGAACATTGTAAGCGACTACTGTTGCATTTGCTTATAGTAATGGCCTATAACAGTAATGTTCAGGCTATGGCCTCCATTCTCCTCAGGAACAAGGAGTCTACTGAGCCTAAGGTGCTTACTGTCAAACCAGCCACTCATGTGGAGTATAGTTTTACAGGTTAGTGACTGTTGTAAATGTCTCCTCCTCAAAAGATCTTGTTGCTTCTTTTTACTCCAGCAGGTGGTGCCACTTGTTTATGAAATTTAGAATTCAAGCACAGTGTCACATTTCTAAAAATTAAAGGATTTTGAAAAGTATAATGTATTAAATAGCAACTATTTTGAAACTTTACAGAAGCCGATTCACAGAAGCTAATTACGTTTGATAAACGCTAACGTATGGTACCTTAATGCTTTGGGGAACTACAATATTCACATCACATATGAATTAAGAGCTGCATTGTCCTTTTACAGACCTTCAAACCTGCTCCACCATTCACTAAGATCATAACTGATCTGTTAATTTTTCAATTTGCACATTCCTATCTACTCCCAATAACCTTGATTCCCTTACCAAAGAAGAATCCAATCTGCCTCCATCTCAATGACACCACTTCCACTGTTTTCTGAGGCAGAGTTCCATGCCTCAGTGAGAAAAATATTCTTCTCATCTCTGGACTAAAAAAGGCAATCCCTAATTTTGACTCATGGACAAGAAAAAGCATTCTTTCTCTGTCCACCCTGTCAAGACCATTCAGGATTTTGTATATTTCAATCAAGTTACCTCTCAATCTTAAACTCCAATGAAAACAAGCCCATTCTGTCCAACTTTTACTCAAATGACAACCTCTTCAATCTAGGTGCCAACCTAGTAAACCATCTCCAACACATTTTTATCCTTCGCTAAATAAGGGACCGAAAGTGCATGCAGTATTCAAACATCTCACCAGTGCTCTGTATATCTGTAGCAGAACATTTTTTCCTGTTATGTTCACTTCATCTCAAAATCAAGGATATCATCCCATTAGTTGTCTTAATTGCTTTCTTACAATTTTATTTTAGAGGCATCTCTACTGCCCTAGTTATACAACTTGCTAGAACACAAGTCCCAGTTTCTTTCAGGTACAGACTGTCTGAGCAGTACAGATTCTAATGTCCCCAGTACTGTTGCCACTCTCCCTTGAACTGGAACCCACTTCCTTCACAGTCTTTAAACCATGCATTAATTTCTATAATCTTATTTGCTCCTTGCTAATTTGCACATGGCTCTGCTTTGTTTGAAATGGCATGCATTATATTGTTTATACCCAGTTTTGTTACTGATTAGTGATATCATCTTCTGTGCATTTATTATCAGCAAGTGCACAGTTCTGATATCCGTTTTAAAGTGGAATGTTAAGATAAAGGAAGAAACTGAGCCTGAAGGGAAAGTATAAAGAAGTTGTTTCTTAACTGAAGCTAGGACAATTTGGAAGGGCATGATACTGAGAGGGAAAAACAGGTGGCTTTTAGCTTCATAAGTATTGGTGAAGCTGCACATATCCAGGCAAACAGGGAATATTCCATTATACTCCTGACTATTGATAGTGGAAAGACTTTAAGGATTCAGGAGGTGAGTTACTTGCCAGAGAATTCCAAGTCTTTGACCTGTTGTTGTATCTGCTTTATTTATATGACTGGATCATAAAAATTAAATCTCTGGCCAATGGTAATCCTCCCAATCATGTTGGTGGGAAAATTCAGCAGTAATAGTGAGCAACGTTCCCTCTAAGCTGCGTGGCCGAACAGCTGCTCCAAGGATCCGTGCATGCAATTGATGTTTTGATGCTGTTTGCAACATTGACATCAAGTTCTAAATGTCACTGTCAGGCACCGACCACAGAGGTGCCCGCAGATGAAAACAAAATTTTTGGGAATGCTGGTAATGACTGAATGTCAAGAGAAAATAGTTAGATTCCCTTTTATTGGAGATGCCCATTACCTGGCATTTGAGTGATGAAACTGCTACTGGTCCATATCAGTGCAGTCCCAAATGTTGCCTGAGTCTTGACGCATCCCACTTAGAACAGTGTAGTATCAAGTATCATTGATAAAGTCATTAACTGATCACTCGTATTTTGGCCACGGTTTGTAGTGTTACTATATTAACAGCCTTAAAGTAATTTCAGTTGATATTGTAGATTTAATATTTTTTAAATATTCTTCTAGCAGGGGGCAGTGAATTTGTGCCAGATTACCAGCCATCGCCAATGACTGACTCAGGACTCAGCTCAAGCTCTACCTCTTCTAGCATCAGCTTAGGAACTACCAGTGCTGCCATTCCCCAGCTCACTCCCACAATTTTAAGTGAGGTGGATATTAATGCAGATCAGGATGAGAAGGTGAAAACACTCATTGAATTTATAACCACAAGGTAAGTTGGTTAAAAATTGCACAGCTCGCTAATTGAAGCGCTTCACCCGACAGACTTAAGTCTCTCGCAGGCTATAATGGTTGTGTAAGAAAAGGAAAGTATGTTGTGTATCTTACCTTCTTTCCTTTTCAAACTGTTGAAAACGTTTGGCACTTTGCTACTTTTCTGGGGATCAACTCCTAAATCTATAGGAGGGCTGGTATATGGAAGGAATTAGGTAACTGTTCACATCACCTCCCTCTTTATCACATGTTGCCACCCATAGAATAACAAACCTTTTTTGTGGCGGTGTTAACTGAAACGACAGTAGGGAAGGAAGCTTTGATACAATCTTGATTTCTTTAACTGAGTAATTCAACTCAATTACTGAAATATCTTTAGGACAGAGATATTTCTGCAAGTTACTTTACATTCTTACTCTGAAAGGAGAAAAACCTTTGCATTTGTAGTGATCTCTTCATAACACTTTTGTGATCCCACTGGTTGCATTCACCTTTTGTTCAAATCGCATTGACCATTTACATTCACTGTTGTATTTCATTTTAGTCAAATGAGAGTCACAGGATATTTCGGCATAAATGGGCACTAACTGAATGGATGTAATTTTGAGGGTAACTTGCTGATGACAATCCCACAGGAAGTTACACTTATCCATGTTTAATTATGCTTGTTTTAAATAATGGAAAATTGCTAACTATTTATGTTGTCATACTTATAAAAACCTTATTTATATTCTCAAAGAAAACGAGGGCCACTATGGAACCATGAAGATGTCTCTCCTAAGAATCCAAACATTAAAACTGCTGAACAGTTAACTGTGTTTTTAAAACATGTAATATCCATATTCAAGCAACCGAGATCAGGTATCTGGAATGCATAGTTACTACAAACTCACAAGTATACATTTTACAGTCTGAACTCTTGACATTTTAATCCAGCTTTTTTTTTTTCCTGGTATTTTTGTTTCCAACTAAACTAGGTTTTCAGCTGGAGCAGCTTCTCAGTGAAGTGGCCTTGCAGACAGCACTTTCATGTTCTAATAGACATTACGCTGGCAGATCATTCCAGATCTTCAGAGCACTAAAACAGCCACTGACTGTAACTACATTGTCTGATGTATTGTCAAGACTTGTTGAAACAGTTGGAGATGCAGGGGAAGAGGCTCAGGTACATAACAGACTTCTAATAGAAGTTATAAAATAATTGTGCTAATCACTTGTTATAGTCACTTTTGTGGCAGTACCCCAATGCATAATTGTATTCAGAATCTAGAAAAACCTCTGAACCAGATACCGCAAATGATACAGATAGCTGACTGTGATTAATGAAAGTGTTAGTCGCGTTCATTCATTTAAATATCTACATTAATACTATTTCAAGTAATAAATTCATAATTCAAGAAGCCTTGTCATTTTTTGATCTATATGGATGAAATCAGTCTATTGCAGCAATACATCTGGTGTTAATTTGAATTCTCTGCTACATCTAGGATTAAGTCTTGCATTTTGTTTGCTTCAGCTAGAGCAATGTTTGAAATGGAACGATTGATTTCAACTCATTCAGTTTCGTCAGAGGAAAATCAGCTGCAGTTGCTATTTCAGTCTGCTGCTGATTTTGCTGGAAAGTTCATTAAAGAAGAAAACATTTCTTCTCATTCATTTCCAATCATTCAGCCTCTTAATAAAAATCTGTTCAACTTGCACACTTGCGTGTTTGCATCCTTTGAATTGTGAGATTTCATGCAAGTATTTCTATTAACAGGGTTTTGTTATTGAACTGCTGCTCACGCTTGAGTCTGCCATTGACACATTAGCAGACACAATAAAACAGTGTGATCTGCTTTCCGCACTTTCTCAGTAAGTACTTTTGGCTTTATATATGGTTTTTGATTATTTGACAATTGACTATTAGCATCTGTTTCATTTTATTTCTGTACTTAGATATTATATAGTTTAATCTAAAAATATGCTATTTTTACCTCCAAACACCTGTAACAAAAGGCTTCTGGTATTTGCTTCAAAGCATCCTCCAGCACATACCAAGCACTTAGATTATGTGTGTTTTCTGTATCCTGGGGCGATATTGATCACACTCTTGATCTTTGTACTTCCGCAAGTTTATATCTCTCCATAAGTTGACAATTTAAGTTATTTGCTTACAAGCATATCGTTCACTAGAGTGTAAGAGATGGAATGAATCATTATGATGGAGGAAATCACAGTGCTGAACAGATTCTTGGCATCTATATGGGTTCTGTTTTAGTAGCCCAAAGGAGTTCTGTTTTTATGTCCTTTTATTTTATAAAAGTCGCTTGAATTTATCTGTCTAAAAAAGCAAGTTTGTGGTTCTATTTGTTTTTAAAAATGCAATTGTCTTTAAAAACTTTAATTATAATCTTCCATTAGCATGCTTTGGTATTGGTAATTGGTTGATGGCCAGAGAGACAATAAGGACTGCAGAATTTGGAAGCCAGAGCCTATAGGTGTGAGGCTGGAAATGCGCAGCAGGTCAGACAACATCAAAGGAGCAGGAAAGTCAACATTTTGGGCCAAAACTCTTCATCAGGACTTGTTGATGGCCAGTTTTCTCACCAGGAAGAAGGAACTAGGCAATGCATTGAGATAACTAATTTGGAGTACAAATCACTTCAATCATATGAGAAAGGAAGTGACTTTAATCCTCCTTACCCTAACTGAGCTTCGATCATTTTTCAAGGACCGTAACTTCCCCCCCTCAGTGGTCGAGAACGCCCTCAACCGTGTCTCCCACATCTCCTGCAACTTACCCCTCACACCCCGTCCACGCAATAAGAACCAAAAAAGAATCTCCCTCATCCTCGCGTACCACCCCACCAACCTCCGGATCCAACGCATCATCCTCCGACACTTCCGCCATCTGCAATCCGACCCCACCACCAAAGACATCTTTCCCTCCCCACCCTTATCTGCTTTCCGGAGGGACAACTCTCTCCGTGACTCCCTTGTCCGCTCCACACTCCCCTCCAGCCCCACCACACCCGGCACTTTTCCCTGCAACCGCAGGAAGTGCTACACCTGCCCCCATACATCCTCCCTCACCCCCATCCCAGGCCCCAAGAAGACTTTCCACATCAAGCAGATGTTCACCTGCACATCTGCCAATGTGGTATACTGCATCCGCTGTACCCGGTGTGGCTACCTCTACATCGGGGAAACCAAGCGGAGGCTCGGGGACCGCTTTGCAGAACACCTATACTTGGTTCGCAATAAACAACTGCACCTCCCAGTCGCGAACCATTTCACCTCCCCCTCCCATTCCTCAGATGACATGTCCATCCTGGGCCTCCTGCAGTGCCACAACGATGCCACCCGAAGGTTGCAGCAACAGCAACTCATATTCCGCTTGGGAACCCTGCAGCCCAATGGTATCAATGTGGATTTCACAAGCTTCATAATCTCCCCTCCCCCTACCGCATCCCAAAACCAGTCCAGCTCGTCCCCGCCTCCCTAACCTGTTCTTCCTCCCACCTATCCCCTCCTCCCACCTCAAGCCGCACCCCCATCTCCTACGTCCTAACCTCATCCTGCCCCCTTGACCTGTCCGTCCTCCCTGGACTGACCTATCCCCTCCCTAACTCCCCACCTACACTCACCTTTACTGGCTCCATCCCCGTCTCTTCGACCTGTTTGTTTCCTCTCTACCTATCCTCTCCTCTATCCATCTTCTATCCGCCTCCCCCTCTCTCCCTATTTATTTCAGAACCCCCTTCCCCTCCCCCTTTTTTGATGAAGGGTCTAGGCCCGAAACGTCAGCCTTTCTGTTCCTATGATGCTGCTTGGCCTGCTGTGTTCATCCAGCCCTGCACCTTGTTGTCTATTGTTTCTGATCACTCATTTAGTGTAGGGAAATGCTAGAGGAAGGTAAAATTGTTCCAGGCATAATATGGCTTGTTTCTTATTAACTTCTCTGGAGCAAATGCTTTAGGAAAGATTTGCTGTCGGTGACTGACCATTGACTGCATTAGTTGTTGGCCGTGAGTCTTTGTAAAGAGGTAAAGAACTTAACTGAGCCATAAACAGGAAAGACCAGAAAAAAATATGGTTCTAACTTACTGATCAACTGCCAGCAGTTTGTATATGCTTCTATTTTGATAAACCTGTATGCAAATATTTTCAGAATATAATAGACTACTTATGACCGAGTTCACTCTGTGCATATAAATGTAATTCTGTATTTGTCGTTCACAGAAATTCATGTTTGTAATATGTCAAAAAATTTTAAGGGAATAGCATAAGTTAAGATTCGGCCAGAGAAATTTAAGCAGCAATGATGGATTTAAGCAGTAAGATGAATTGATTGCCACAAGATTTTGAAAATAGCCCTAGTTGAAACTAATCAAAAACTTTAAAGAATTAATTACTGTACAGAAAGCAAATTTGTTTTATTTGAGTTTTATTTGCACAGAATAATATCAATTTGCATGCACCTTAAATATGAAACCTGATCTATGTGTTTGTATTTGTCTTCAACTTATTATAGAACACATTTAACTGATTCCTTAATGGGCACTAAGTTGGCAGCTAACAGGAAAAGCACTGGACAACTAAACTTAAGCACAAGCCCACTCAGTACCAGTAGTTTCCTAACTCATCATAGTTGTCACGCGAGAAGTAACTCTTTACGAGCCAGTCTACTGGGAGACAGACGGTGTGACAGACGTCGAAGTAATACACTGGATATTTTGGATGGGAGGATGAACTATGGTAACCTAGCAAGGACTCGAAGCCTGTCCTCTCTTAGAGAGGGTGAAATGCCTGACCAGCAGCCAACTACTGATCCAAGTAGCCTGATGGCTACCATTTTCTGGATAGCTACAGCCCTACTAGAGTCAGACTATGAATATGAATACCTTTTGGCACTAAAACTGCTCAACAAACTGCTCACACAGTTGCCTCTGGATAAAGCGGAGAGTCGGGAGAAGATTGAAAAAGTGCAAAGCAAACTGAAGTGGAACAGTTTTCCTGGCCTCCAGCAGTTATTCCTCAAGGGCTTTACCTCATCTTCCACTCAGGATATGACTGTTCATCTCCTGAGCAAACTAATTTCCATCTCTCGACACACTCTGGTGGATCCAGCTCAGGTGGCAGGTATGGTTTTATTTTCATTTTCAAGTTTCTTTTTACATCATTCTTACTTTGCCAATTATTATTTCTATCAAAATCTTAATATATTAAAATAAACATTTGGGAATGGTAAAGGAACTGTATGAAACATTCACTTTTATCTCCTGTAAAGCCGAGGTTTGGAACCGGCTCTGTGACAACTGAGTACAACTTTCACGATTAAGGGAAAAGTGCTGACTAGAAAATAAACATTTTCCACTTAGCCAATTCCAAAAACTAATGCCTCCAATAGTCAGATGCTGAACTCTTTTACACAGGAGGATATAAAGAATGTGCAAATTGAGTATAATTATAAATTATAAATTGAGTAACTGTAAGGATGTAGAACATGAATGTGGAAGAAAGCAAAATCTATAATCTTTCATAAAAGAGAAATGAATATTTGAAAAAGGGCAATTGAGATTAAGTCGTTAGCTCATTACAAAGAGCATTCGATTCTCAAACAGTCCCATTAAATTGGAAATTTGCAAATATTTATTTAATTTTCAAGAAAGGAAACAATGAAATACAGGACAACTTAACCTGATATCAGTCATTGAAAATGCTAGAATCTATTTGTAAGGACATCTCAAGAATGTGCTCAGAAAAGCGTGATCTAATTAAAACAACTTGGTTTTACTAAAGAGAAATCCTGTTCGACAAATTTGTAAGTGTTATTTGGGCCAATAAAGGGGAGCCTGTAAATGTAGTATACCTGGATTTTCAAAAGGCACCACATAGGTGCTGTACAATTCGTTAAAAGGTGTTCGTGAATTGGGTATTAGAGGATTGATTGACAGGAAGCAGGGAGTGGGAAGACATAGAGTCATATAGCACAGAAATAGACTCTTCAGCCCAACTTGTCCATGCTGAGCAGGTTTCCTAATCCAAACTACTCCCATTTGCCTGCATTTGACTTGTACCCCACTAAATCCTTCCTATCTACATACCTGTCAAAATGTCTTTTAAATGTCGTAATTGCACCCGCCTCAACCACTCCCTTTGTCAGCTTGTTCCATACACACACCACCCTCCAAGTGGAAAAAGTTGTTCCTTAGGTTTCTTTTAAATCTTACCCCTCTCACCTTAAACCTATGACCTCTAGTTGTGGGCTCTCCCACCATGGGGAAAAGACCTTGCCTATTCATCTGATCTATGCCCCTCATGATCTTAGAAGCTTCTATAAGGTCATCCCCTCAGCCTCTGACACTCCAGGGAAAAAGTCTCAATGTATCCAGTCTCTCCTTAGAACTCAAACCTTCTAGTCTCAGTAACATCCTTGTAAATCTTCTTTGTACCCTTCCTAATTTAATAATATCCTTTCTATAGCAGAGTGATATCAATATCTTGTACAGCTGTAACATGATGTCCCAACCCTGACTGATGAAGGCAAGCATGCCAAGCACTGCTTTCACTGCTTGTCTACCCGTGATGTCATTTTCAAGGAAATATGTACCAGCACCGCTGGGTTTCTCAGTTCAACAACACTCCCAGGGCTCTACATTAACTATGTAAGTACTGCCCTGGTTTGTCTTATCAAATTGCAACATCTCACATTTATCTGAATTAAACCCCACCTACATTCCTCAGCCCAGTGGCCCATCTGATCAACGTCTCGTTTTACTCTTCGATAACCTTCTTCACTATCCAGTATACCACCAATTTTCGTGATCTGCAAACTTACTAACTATGCCTCCTATATTCTTAACCAAATCTTTTAAGTAAAAGATGTGCAACAATGGCACCTTGCAGTGTACAGTGAATAATGGAGTTCTGTAAGTACTGGGCCTCAGCTATTTACAATTCTTATGGATGATTTGGATGCAGAAACAGGGAGAATAATAAACCTATGTTTGCTAGATAATGCAAAGTTAAGTGGAAAGGGAAACTATGGCAAGGATACAGTGTATTCAGAGAGATCTAGACAGGTTAATGAACATACATCAAGATGGTAGATGAAGTATAATGTAGTAAAATGTGAAGTTATTCATTTTTGTCAAAAGAATAAATAAAGCAAAGCAACTGGCATATTGGGCTTTATTGGAAAGGCTTTGGACTACTGGAGTAAGGAAGACTTACTGTAACGATATAGTATGACATGACCTCATCGTGTATAGTATGTGTCATTTTGGTTTCTACATTTATGAAAGGATGTATTTGCATTGGAAACATTGTGGAGTTCACTCTAATAGTACTTGAATTGAGGAGGTATCTTTCTGAAGTGAAGCTGAATAAAAGGGGCTTAAATTCTCAGAAACAAAGAACAATAAGAGGTGATCTCATTGAGGCATATCAGATTCTGAAGGGGCTTAATAGAGAAGATGCTGAAAGAGTGCTTCTGTTTGCTTGGGGAACTCTAAAACACGGGGCAGAGGATAAAGCACTGATTCTTTAGGACTGAAGAGTGAACAAATTAGTAAAAGAGTTGTAAAACTGTGGATTCCTGCCCCAGTGGAGTGTGGATGCTCCATCTTTGAACAGATTTAAGGCAGGGATAAACAGATTTTTGATCTCTTAGGAAATCGATGGAAATGGGAAATCAGCGTGAAGGTGAACTTGAAGCCTGAGATCAACAATGTATATGTTAATTGACAGAACAGGCTTGATGGACCATTTATCTACTGCTGTTTATATTTCATGTATTCTCATGATGGACTGAGGGATCTCCTGCACTGTGAAGCTCTATGATTGGCTGAGCAGATGTGCTTTGTGGTATTCCCTATAGATTATATTTTCCTGCTCTCATTTACTTGAATTCAGAAATTCGATGCAAATTGGACAAATTCACATGATATTTAAGTAGAATGAGAAGTTGAGCTTAAAGCAGCTAAGGAACTACAAGTAAAATGTGAAGACAAAGCCAACAGAAACAGTTGCAATTCGTCAAGCAAAAGAATTTCAATGCAACTCAATAATTTCAAGAGAGAATAAAGTTAGGATATTGATTGCTGCTTTACACAATGGCGAAAAGGTTGGAGGAAACCTGGGAATGAGTGTCAACTCCACTTTAACCATGTTCAGTCATTGCAGAGCAGCAAGCAAACAGAATGATCAGCTACCTTGCCTGATCAATTGAGTACAGGTTTGATAGAAACAAATTAGAATGAAATCTGAAATAATCTTTATATTACATATGCCCTAATGGTTGTAATGGAATGAGATTCTATTGTTTTTACAAATTCTAACATTTGTAGGTCATCTCCTTTCTTTTCAATTATAGAACAGACCAGCTACTATTCCCGTTGAATTTCTTTAGTTGTGATAACCGATAATCAGGCAGATTATAAAACTTTGGGAGATGTTACAGATTAATGCCAAATTTAAACTGGCATACATTGACCACTTGCTCAGAAAGATTTCTGTGTCTTATATGAGGCATATACTTGGGAGTTTATATATTAACAACAAAGAACTTCCCAGTTTTGTATGTCAGTCATTTGTAGACACATCCTCACCAGGAGAGAACTGGACTGAGTAATTCTTCAAAGCTTGCATGATCATCAGTACAAGAGACAGATACTTTATCTGAAATGGTACATTGAGGTGTCCTCCGAATAAAGAAATTAGCATCCTTGGTATGGAAGGCTCCTTTGACGTAAGATTAATAACTGCTTCTTTTCTTTGGTTCACTCGGTGCAACTGTATTTACAGGTGATTTTGGTGAGTCAGAACTCAGAGTCCAGAAGTAAATATAAAAAGCTCATCAAAAGACTCGGCTTAAAGTATTAAAGTGAGAGTTAAGTACTGTATTGCTTTTTTGCATGCTGGCTTAACTTGCTTCTTGGTGTATTTAATTATTTTCAATAAACAGTTTGGAGTTTGTCCTGAAATATATTTCTGATAGTGTGATGCTTTCTTAGTAATTTGAGTAATCCCCTGCTGTTGACATCCTGGGTGTTACCATTGACTAGAAACTGAACTGGACCAGCCATATAAACATAGTAGCTACAACAGCAGGTCAGAGGTTAGGAATCCTGCAGCAAGTAACTCACCTCCTGATCCCCCTGTCCATCATCTTCAAGGCAAAACTCAAGAGTGTGAAGGCATACTCTCCATTTGCCTGGATAGGCACAGCTCCAACAGCATCAAAAAGCTTGACATCATCCAGAACAAAACTTCCTGTTTGATTGGCACTGCATCCACAAAGATGCAGTCACTCCACCGCCAATGTTCAGTCATTTGTGTACCGTCTACAAGATGCACTGTAGATATTCAAAGAAATTCACCAACATCCTTAGACAGTACCCTCCAATTCCACTACCACTTCTATCTAGAAGGAGAAGGGCAACAGGTACATGGGAACCCCACCACCTGCAAATTCTCCTCCAAGCCACTCAGCATTACACTCTTGACTTGTGCCCTGTAAATGATGGACAGGCTATGAGAAGTCAGGAGGTGAGGTACTTGCTGCAGGATTCCTACCTTCTTTCCTGCTGTTGTAGCCACTGTATTTATATGGCTTCTCCAGTTCAGTTTCTAAGCAATTGTAACCCCGAGGATGTTGACAGTGGGGAATTACCACGCACCACCCTGACTTGGAAATTTATTGTGTTCCTTCTGGGTCGTTGGGTCAAAATCCTGGAATTACCTCCTTTAGCAGTATTGTGGGTGTACCTACAGCACATGGACTGCAGCGGTTCAAGAAGGCAGCATACCACCAACTTCTTAAGAGCAACTAGGAACGGCAATAAATGCTGGCTTAGGCAGCATCACCCACGTGCCATGAGTGAATTTTTAAAAAGTAATTGGGATAAACATTGTGCTTCCCTACTCAGTCATAATGGGATCTTCGTTAGCTCTATATCCAAGAGAAAAATGCATGAGAATAAGCTTGGAACCTTCCCTTATTCTGAGCTGTGAGCTATGGTGAAGAGATATTTCAGAATACAACCATTTTAAAGCCATATACAAATTATCCCATTACGACTCTTAATCTTTCACCATAAAAATGTGGATATTTATATTGTTGTTCATCGTTTTTTGTCTCTGTGTAAAAGTGTCTTAAAAACTGTACCTGATTTTCCAGTGGTCAGATAATTGTTTCTAAAGAGTATATGGGAGTGGTGCATGGGGACCATGTGGAATCTCCCATCATAGCAAGCTGCAAAGTAAATGCCTGGAAAATTGAAGATTCCACTGGACAATTCCCCTATGCTTGAAACTTTCCGAAAGTATCCATTTAAATCGGAGAATTTGGAATGTTCCACTGATGTTAAATAAATAATTACTCAAGAACAGTTAAACTATTAAATACATAGTCCAATTCCTGAGTAACTACTCAACTAACACCCTTCAACTTAACTTGCATGGAATAAATACCCACCCCCACTCCAGACCTCATATGCCAGCCCCGGTGCCCTAGGACCTCACCCCCACCTTCCCCCAGTGCCCCTCGCAGACTCTGCAGTGACCTGATTCCTCCACCAACACTGACATAGTTAAACATTCCATCACTTACAAGGCCCCATTGCCATCTAGCACCTTACTCTGTACCCACCTGGCACCCTAACTCCACATTTATCTTGCATACTTACCATATGACAGCAGCTATCAATGTAGCTAACTGTGATTCTGAAGCTTTAAATTTCTGACTACAGCAGCTGTGCAAAAGTGGGCATGGTTTTCCTTCCCTCTCTGCTCTATGCCACGAGGACCTTTCAGAATGTAAGTATGGCTGAACATTTCTGAAGGTGCTCAGATCAGAATCTCCTGTTGGAAATGTAGAGCTCTTTCATGGCATAAAAAAGGAGCAGAATAGCAATTTGCTTCAAATTTCCACTCTCCAGAAAACTTGACTCCATGTTTGCACACTACATTTCCAAATTCATTTCTTATGTAAGAGAGATCTGACACTGTGATCTTGGAATGGAGTTACGTAAGGCTATAAAGAAGAAAATCGTGTTCTGAGTCATCTGCTTAAGCACACGTAATATTTTTTTTAAATGTTAAATTAATATTTAACATTGGTTAGTCGATTAAACCAATGTTGGTGTATTGCCTACTGTTTTGAATGCCCCACTGTCGAATGGATGTCAGGGCCCTGGAAATAGCGGTGAGGACTAACTAGAATTATACTAAAAATCAGACATTGTGAAAAAAGGCTGAAAATGATTTATGCCTTTTTCATAGAAACAGATGTTAAGTGATTTAAGACAGATTAGGAAGGGATTAATTAAGATTTTTCAAAAATTGGAAAATTTGAGAAGACAGAAAATGTTTCCTATTTTAGCAAATCAGTCGCAAGGGAGTGTAGAATCGGGATTATTATGGCTACCTTGAAAGGGCAAGTAGAATTTTATTTTTGCACTAAGGGCTGTAAGAATACACAGCACTTTTCCACACGTGGTTATTACTTACAACTGAATTGGATGATATTGAAATTATTTTTAAAAAGCATTGAGAAAATGCAGGATGCTTGGGTTTAGATTGGATAGCCCCAGCTGAAGAAGTCCAAATATTATGGACCAAAGATGGACATGTGCTGTGCTTTTACATTCTATGATTCATAAATAGGCCAGTGAACATATATCTAATCATAAATTTACTGGTCTGTTAACATTTTAAGAATATTTTTATGTATTCTGTTGAGGATTTGCAAAAACAGTGCAGAATATTTATTTTATGAAAATTTCTTCCATGGGATTTGTGCATTTCCAGCAAGGCGAACATTTGTACCCATTTCTTATTCCCCTTGAACTCTGTGGCTTATTAGACCTTGTCAGACGGCAGTTGAGAGTGAGCCACATTACTGTAGGTTGGAGTCACATGTAGGCCAGACCTTTCCTAAAGGATCTTGGTAAACCAGATGGGGTTATATAATTATGGTTGATTATGGTTGTCATGATCCCAATTACTGAGACTAGCGAATACCTGGGTTTCTGGATTATTAGCTCAGTAACATTGCCACTATGTCACCAGCTCCTGAAATCTTACATTTGTTGAGTTCATGCCTGCTTTTATCTTTTTAAAACAGCATAATTTTAAGTAAAAATTTCAGTTTAAAATCAAAAGATCTAACTTACTTGAACGGACATCTTTGATTTCTATCCAAAAA